ACAAAGCAAAACAATTAGTGAACCTGAGCACCAAAAATATCCCTAACGGGCAAACTTGTAAAACCTGACACCACAAAATTTTTTTTCCCCGACCACTTTTTCCAACATCAAGTAAAAACCTGGGGCCACCAAAAATTTCCCCCCCCCTGACACAGCAGACAACTATGAGACCTGAGGCACCGCAGATGATCCCGACAACAAATCTAGTAGACCTGAGGCCCAAACAGAGACCCTGACCCCGAACATCTGTGAACCTGGGGAAAACCAAACGGGGAAACCCTGACACAGCAGACATCTAGTGCCCCCTGAAAACCACAATAACCCTGAAAAAAGCAGACTTTAAAATTGAGCCCTGGGGCAAAAACCCAATGACCCCCGACCACGCAGCCCCTCTAGTGGACCTGGGGCCCCAGCAAAAAATAAATCCCGGACACAAAAATCTGGGAAACCCTGAGGCCCCACCAATGATCCCTGACACGGGCAGACATTTTATAAACCCCTGGGGACCAGCAGATGACCCCCTACCACCAGAATCTAGTGAAATTAGGCACCACAGATGCCCCCATCCCACAAAGAATCTGGGAGCTGACAACCACAATGACCCTGAAACAGCAAAATCTAGTGGCCCTAGGCAACCGGCAGATGTTTCCCGACCATCAGACATTGAAAAAAAAACCATTACGGTAGAACCGTTAAAGACACAAAAAACCCAAACATTAAGAACTTAAAAATTAAACCTGGGATCCCTTTAAAAAAGGGGGTTTGGGGGTTCAGCCCCCGGGGCCCGGTCGGGGGCCAGGCCCAAAATATTTATAGGGAAACAATTTTAAACTGAGACCGGGCGGCTGAAATATTTGTTTAAAAATTTTTGGTTTAAACAATTTTTAAAGGAAAATCTTTCCCAAAACTAAACCCAACCCTAAAAAAATTTAATTTAAAAAAAACCGAAAACAAAAACTAAAAAATACTTCCAAAAAATTTTATTTAAAAAAATGTTATTTCCTGGGGAAACATTTACTGTAAAAATGTGGGGAAAAATTTTTTCTTTTGTCTTAAGATATATGAAATGATGAATCATTCAAGCTTTTATCTGGGGAAAAATATGTTTTGGAAAGGGGGGCATATTCTTTTAGGGATGCGGGGGGGGGGGGGCTCCCTGGAGACCCCTTGGGAAATGTTTTTTGGTCCCCTTTCTAGTTCACTTATTTATGACTCAGGGAATCAATACAACACTTTGGACAAATCTTAAAATACACACTCTGAATCGTAGTTCAGGTTCCATGTGTACAATCACCGCCGCTAAACAACTGGAAGATTAATAATGTTAATCTAAAATTTACTGAGTGGAGATATGTGCCCTTAATTATTGTGATATAAAGTGATATCACTTGTGGGTACATTACCCCTCAGGGAAGGTTCCTTGATGCTGGTGAGGGGCTCTTGATTTAGGGAATTGGATATGTGCTCAAGTTCCCTGAATTAAGCCTGAATACATTCCATCTCCACCACTTACGCTGTATAATCCTACGGGTTTAGCGCTCCCCATGATTATAATATTAATAATAATGTCGGGACCTTACTGGAAACTAGAAATAAAAATTATTATTATTATAATTAAATAATGCGCTAAACCGCCAAGAGTCACACAGCGCTGCTGGACAGACAATATTGCCGGGGATATAAACAACTAGTTGGAAAGAGACCATACCCCCGGCCGGGATTGAACCCGCGGTCATAGAGTCTCAAAACTCCAGCCCGTCGCAGACAGGATCAAAAGTGAGGAAAGAAAAGATCTGGAAGGAACGCTGAAGGTTATATGTCGAGGTACGTGTAGTAAATGGTGAGAGTAAGTCTAAGACATGACCGTCAACAAGGAGAGGCAGAGCAGCGGCGACGCTGGAAGTGAATTCCGCTTGCCACAGGAAAGTGACGAAACGATAACTGGGACCTGACAAGCCTCACAGAGAGGAACAGTGTCGCTCCATGATATACCCATTGGTAAGGCGAGTATGGTCGATGCGGAGACAGGAAAACACAGTCTCCTAAGTACAGCAACTGTGGTAAGAAGATGGCCACAAACCCAAACATGGTTTAATAGAATGTAATTTGTTGTTGCTGCCAACGGTTGCGAAGACGGGCAGAGATGACTGCAAGATACTCCCTTTATAAGAAACCGGAAGATCACATACCACTGACTGCACAGTAGCATCAGCCTGTTCACTGCACCACACGTCAACGTGTCCAGAGAGCCAACAGAAAATGACGGCTTCACACAAGGAGAACCCGGGTTCGATTCCCGGCGGGGTGGAAACATTTCGACGTGTTTCCTTACACCTGTTGTCATGTTCACCTAGCAGCAAATAGGTACCTGGGTGTTGGTCGACTGGTGTGGGTCGCATCCTGGGAGACAAGATTGAGGACCACAATGGAAATAAGACAAACAGTCCTTGATGACGTACTGACTGTCTTGGGTTATCCTGAGTGGCTAACCCTCCGGGGTTAAAAATCCGAAGAAAATCTTATCTTTTATCTTATCTCTTTGTTAGCTACAAGACGCAACCAAAGTTCAATATGAAGGACCAACGGATGAGAAGAATCAAATTGTTTAATGACCTGTAAAGTGCCGAGGAAATTCAAAATGATCATAAATGCTGAAGGAGACATGTAGTACGGAGAAGCACTGTGACGATGGCATACAACTCGGCGGTAAAAATGCTCGCTGAGTCTAAGAAATGACCTCGGACAACATCGTCAGGGAACACCACCGCGACCCCAACACCGTCAGAAGATTCAGAACCATCTGTATAAACAGTGAGGGCACGAGTATGAGACCAGAAGTGATCAAGAAAAAGAGAGCGAGAAGCAGCCGTAGGTAGGAGAGCTGAACGCACGGTAGTAGAGGAGAACGGACACGAACTGTCGGAACCTCCAAAGGGGGAAGAGAAAAGGTAGATGCTACATGAACATACAAGGGAGGTAACTGGAGAGGAGACTGGAGTGAGTGAAAATTAAAAAAAAAATGGACGGAGTAAGCAGGGGTGTGGATCAAAAAACGGACCTCTACTAATGTCAGAGACCAAACTGTATGTAGAAGAAACATGAAGGTTATGAGAGTGGACAATGGGCAATGAGCATCACAATGGTCGGCTAAGGAAGGAACATTCGTCTCAGCTCTCAACAGGGGATGAACAAAAGGCACCAAGACATAAACGTAAACCTTGATGATGAAGGGGATCTAGATTAGAGAGAGTTGCAGAAGAACCAAAAGAATAGATTGGTCGCCATAATCCAGCTTCGACAAGACTACGGCAGAATGCAAATGAAGGAGAGTCCTGCGATCTGTCCCCTATGAACGATGTGCAAGAATTTTAAGGAGGCTCTGCCGACCGTGGAAAGCTGCTTTCATAGAGGAAATGTGAGGTCTCCAGGTCAACCGGCGATCGAACAAAAGGCCAAGAAACCTGACCGTATCACATTACAGGATACGTAAGCCATGCAGGTACAATGGAATATCTGGGACAAGAGGACGTCTAGTGAAAGTAATGAAATGGGTTTTTGCACCAGACAATTTAAATCCATGAGAAGTGACTCAATGGGAAACACTGTCAGTCGCATCCTGAAGGAAGGCCGTTACCAGGCGACAGTCAGCTCCTGCGTAAGCTATAGCGAAGTCAAACCATACCACGGGTGGGGTTAGAACCCACAATCAGAGTCTCAAAAATCCACCCATGGTATGGGTTGTTTGCAATCGTGTTATTACTATATCGTGAGTTATAGCAAAGTCATCCACATAAAGTGACGACCAAATATTCGATGGCATAATGTACGGTAGATCATTTATAGCCAAGAAAAAAAAGGGTAGTGGGACTCCCTCGGCCTGAACAAAGTCTGAGGAAAATGAGGCGTGAAGACGAACACGAAAATGTCTTTCAGATAAGAAAGCAGCAAGGAAGGTCGGTAGATTACCACGGTGGCCTAAGGAGTGAGCCTCGGCTAAGATAATATACCTCCAAGTGGTGTCATATGCTTTCTCGAGATCAAAAAAGACTGCCATAATGGAGTGGTTATTAGCAAAGACATTTCACACATATGTCTCTAAGTGGAGCAAGGGGTCCAGAGTAGAGCGGCCTATGCGAAAGCCATATTGGCGAGGAGTAAGACTATCTTGAGTCTCCAAATACCATATCAGACGTCTATTCACCAATCGTTCCATCACCTTGCAGATTGTACTGTTGAGAGCAATGGGATGATAGTGAGAGGTATCAAGCCCCAAAATGCCTGGTTTGCGAAATGGTAGTACAATGATTTCCATTGAGAGAGAACTCCTCAAGTCCAAACAAGATTAAAAAACGCAAAAGGACTGTAAGGGCTTTTGAATGCAGATACTGTAGCATTCGGATATGAATATCAGTGGGGCAAGATGCCGATGACCAGCATGCGGAAAGCGTGGACTCTAGCTCTAAGAGAGCAAAAGGTATGTTATAAGGCTCCAACCCATTAGAAGAGAAATCCAAGGGCGATTGCTCCATGGCAGACTTAGAAGCAAAAAATGAGGGACAAAGGTGAAGCCCTTGGGAGACATGGACAAGATATTTCCCGATTCCTTGGCAACTCAAGAGGTTCTGCAACACTGACACTAACAGCTCGCAGAACGGGAGCTAGGTCTGGGTCACTGGTGTGACCTGAAGTGCTTGTAGAATACGACAGTGGTGATAGGCTGCACTGGTGTGACCTGAAGTGCTTGCAGAATACGACAGTGGTGATAGGCTGCACTGGTGTGACCTGAAGTGCTTGTAGAATACGACAGTGGTAATGGGTTGCACTGGTGTGACCTGAAGTGCTTGCAGAATACGTAAGTGGTGATAGGCTGCACTGGTGGTGACTGAAGTGCTTTTAGAATAGACAGTGTAATGGGTTGCACTGGTGTGACCTGAAGTGCTTGCAGAATACGTAAGTGGTGATGGGCTGCACTGGTGGTTATAAGTATTTTTCAGTTGCAGGAGTATCATGGAGGAGTTCGTGGGTTGTCTGAGTGGCGATGGGGTTAAATTTCTGCCTGCCAGTGTGAGAAGACTTACCTGCTTTTATGTAATACGTCATGCTTTGCCACCCTGACACAGCTACACGATTGCTATAACTGCTGAACCCTCCTACTACCTCTCTCTTAAGTGAGTTAAGTAAGTATTTCATCTTTCGATCTATATTGTATATAGTTGTATTCATGTACTGACAAGATAATAATTAGGTTAAAATACAATATGATTTACTCAATATTCTAGAGTAAGTTTATTCAGTATGTTACCCAAATAACTATTTCTTACATTAGATCATACATAGCAGCATATGTGCAGAGAACCTAGGATAACCCAAAATAAAGTCAGACAAAGTGACATATTTCCATTGGGGTCCCTTATTCTATCTTTTCATTCTTCAATATGGTACTGATCATGTCACTGGATGGAAGATGAGGAGGTACTTGTACCTCTTCCCATGGCAGACATAGGTCTGAGACACTCCCAAGACAGGGAGCCAAGACCAGGTCACCATCTGGAAAGGACCCGGACTGGGAGAGTACCGGCGAATCAAGAAGAAGAATGTCACTAGATGTCAAAACGTCTATAGAATGAAGATATCCAGATATTGTACATGTGTCTAATTCATCAAAGTTTGTTATAGTGTTACTAGATGTGTTCGCTGTCTTGTGTTTTATTCTGTGTTATAATGTGATAGCTGGATAAGTACAGGTCAGCCATAGAAGTAGTCAGGTCTAAGGGAGGGATCCCAGTCATATGTAGCATCGTGCCTAGAAAGGGAGTGGGCAATGAATGGATGTCTAGGGTAATTGGTATAAATTGCTGACTGGACAGGTACTGCAAGGAACTTGCAATCCCGTTCATTGATAACTGGGACAGCTTCTATGGCAAACGTGATATGTATGCAAGGGATGGGGTTCATCTCTCTGGGGCTGGAGTGGTTGCATTAACCAATTCGATTGAGGGGGTAATTGATGACTTGTCTAGGACTTTAAACTGATAGATTATAGGGGTATGGGTGTTTGTGGGAAACAATCAAGCTGCAGTATTAGGGTTGAAAACAGCAGATATTACCGGGATACCTCAGGGATATGTTTAAAAGATAATATTCAAAATAAAGTTGCTAGTAATGGCAAATCAATTGATCAACAAACAAAGAGAGATAGTAGAGGGCAACGAGTGACTAGCTCCCTTAAGCTTTACTATACAAATAGTAGGAGTCTAAGATATAAGATAGATGAGCTAAGATTACTTGCAAGTGCACGTAATATAGATATTATTGGTATAACAGAGACCTGGTTCAACCTGAAAGATAGAGAAATGCCTTCTGAATGCAACATACAGGGTTATAAACTATTCCACACTGACAGGGTCAACAGGAATGGTGGTGGAGTGGCAATCTAAGTCAAAGATAATTTAAATTGTTGTCTTAGATATGATATAAGATTAGAAACATCGAACACAGAATCTGGCTACAGTTTCTCGAGGGTCATGACAAATTAATTTTGGGTGTGATTTATAGACCCCAAACCTTGATAGGGAGTGCAGTAAGCTGTTATGGGACGAAATTCATAAGGCATCTAGATATGAAAATGTGTTAACGGGAGATTTTAACTTAAGACAAATTGATTGGAACAATACGACAGGAAATCATGAGTAGTGACTTTCTTGACATGGTTCTGGATTGCTTTTTAGAACAGGTTGTGACAGAACCAACTAGAGGAAACAATCTGCTTGACTTGGTTCTTGCCAACAAAGATTCACTAATTAATAATCTTGAGGTTAATGATGAGCTTGGAGAAAGTGATCACAAATCACTTAGTTTCAATATATCATGGAATTACCCAGATAACTGCAATCAAATCTCTGTCCTGATTTTCGCTTGGCCGACTTCATGGGACTGAAAAATTACCTGTGTGGGCTAAATTGGGATATCCTGACTATGGGTCAGGTAGGTGATCTTGGTTGCCAATATGACGTTTTTCAGAGCGTAGTTCTAGCTGCCCAGACAACTTTTGTTCCGAGTAGGGAAATTAGATCTAACAAAAATGATCCCAAATTGATGAACAATAATTTAAAAAATCTCATTGGTCAAAAGAGAGGCATATATAGGCGTATCGAAAGAGGGGATGGGCAGTTAAGAAATCAGTATGTTCAGTTAAAGAGAGAAATAAAAAAAGGAATAAGAAAAGCAAAAAGGGATTATGAGGCTAAGGTCGCAAGGGATTCAAAGACTAACCCAAAAAGGTTCTTTCAGGTATACAGAAGTAAGATTAGGGACAAGATAGGCCCACTAAAGAGTAACTCTGGTCAGATCACTGACAGTGAAAAGGATATGTGAAATTTTCAATATTTACTGCCTCTCAGTTTTTACCCGGGAAAATACTAGCTAAATTCCTGAAACAATAGATTATGTTGAACAGGAAGATAATAAACTATGCACAATCGCGGTACCTAGTGACATGATCCTCAGACAAATAGAGAAATTTAAACCTAACAAATCCCCAGGTCCCTGATGAACTGTTTGCAAGGGTGTTAAAGGAATGTAAAGAGGAACTTAGCATACCTTTGGCTAATCTTTTCAACATATCACTACAAACTAGCATAGCGCCTGGTAAGTGGAAAATGACAAATGTAATACCTATTTACAAGGCAGGTGACAGGTCCTTGGCTTCGAACTATAGACCAATAAGCCTTACCTCCATAGCGGGAAAATTTATGGAATCAATAATTGCCGAAGTAATTCGTAGCCATTTTGATAGGCACAGATTGATTAATGATTCTCAACACAGTTTACAAAGGGTCGTTCCTGTCTTACGAATTTACTAACTTTCTTCACTAAGGTATTTGAGGAGGTAGATCATGGTAATGAATATGATATTGTGTATATGGACTTCATTAAGGCTTTCGATAGAGTTCCACATTAGAGGCTATTGAGGAAACCTAAGGCACACGGAATAGGAGAATTTTTTCCTGGGTAGAGGCATGGTTGACAAATAGGCAGCAGAGAGTTTGCATAAATGGGGAAAAATCAGAATGGGGGCACGTCACAAGCGGTGTTCCTCAGGGGTGAGTGTTGGGCCCGTTGTTGCTCACAATTTACATAAACGACATAGATGAGGGAATAAATAGTGACATAAGCAAATTTGTTGATGACACCAAAATAGGCCGTCCAGTTCATTCTAATGAGGACACTAGAGCACTCCAGGATGATTTGAACAGACTGATGCAATGGTCGGAGAAGTGGCAGATGCAGTTTAACATAGACAAATGCAAAGTTCTAAATGTTGGACAGGACAATAACCATGCCACATATAAACTAAATAATGTAGATCTTAATACTTCTGATTGCGAAAAGGATTTAGGTTCTGGGTTTGCGTAATTAAAACCAAAACAACAGGTAATTTTGTGTGCAAAAAAGCTAACAGAATCCTTGTTTATATCAGAAGTATAAAAAATAGGGCCTCAGTTTGTTTTTAACTTTTTAAAAACCCCCGGTTGGCCTCATTTAGTTAGCTGCACAGTTTTTGGGCACCGTATTACAGAAGGGATAAAAAGTTCGGAAACGTACAGGGGGAGATGACAAAGGGGTCCCATGTATCAAAATCTTCCAAAGAGGGAAAAAGAGGGGGCCTGAACCTGCCCTTCCCCGAAAAGGGTAGAAAAAGGGGGTATAGACAGGTTAAATAAAAAAGGTTTAAATAGCGTCTGAAAATTTTCAGCCAAGAAGGACCGCAGCAATGGTTTTAAATGGAAAAAATCAATTTAGGGAAAAAAAATTTGGAAAGCACTGTTTTGGGTTTTTGGAGATTAAAAAACTCCCGGTACAGTTATTGGGCTAAAAAGTTAGTGTTTTAAAAATAGGTTGATAAATATTTATGGGGTGGGGGGGGTGTGATTTTGGCCTCACTGCTTATGCTATTTTGGGCTAGCCCCTTTCCCTTCCTTTAAAAGAAAAATGACCTACTAGTGGGGAATTGGGTAATCGGACGGTGGGGGCTGGACCTGCTTCGAGGGTCTTTGGCCTGTTGCGGTTTCTTCTTTTTTATGTTCTTAGTTTGGTGGCACATCAAAACCCCCTGTGTGGTAGTTTCAATATTTTGTTCGACACTAATCACCCACTAGGTTGAAGTGTTTCAATATATTTTGAGACCCCCTATCAACCACAAGTGTTTTAAGTGTTCATTGTTGTTTTAGAAATTTTCAACCAAAGGTGTGGTAAATGTTTTAAAAAATTTTGTGTTGGCCCTATCAACCAAAATTGTGATATCTACCAAAATTTTTGTTGGGCACATCAACCCCTAAGGGGTGTGATGTTTACAATTGTTTGTTTAGACACTCACCATAGAGTGTGTAAGTCTACAATTTTGTTTTAGACCATCAACCACTGAGTGGTTATATGTTTTAAAAATTTTTTTGTTGAACACACAACCCCCAAGGGTGTTTGGTTACAGTAAGTTGTTTGAAACACATCAACCACTAGAGTGTGTTTATGTTTCATAGTTTTTTTGGAAAACTTTCAACCACTAGATGTGTGATAGGTTACAATTTTGTGTTTAACACTACCCCCAACCCCAAGTGTGGAATAGTGCTACAAAATTTGTGTTGAGACACTTCAACCCAAAGGGGTTTTGAAAATTTACATATGTTGTGGAGACCTATCAACCCCTAGATGTGTTTAGGTTACAGTAGTTGTGTTGAGACACTATCAACCACTAAGGGGTTTGTAGTGTTACAAAGTTTTGTTGAGACCTACCAAACCCCTAGAGGGTGATAGTGTACAATAGTTTTTTGGAACACTACAACCACAGATTTTGTATGGTTACAGTATTTGTTTAGACCTATCACCCTAGATTGTGAAGGTTACAATATGTTGTGTTTGGGCACTATCAACCACCTGGTGTGTGATAGTGTTACAATAGTTTGTTGAGACACTTCAACGAGTGGTGATAGTGTTACAATATTTTTTTTGAGACACTACAACCCACCGAGTGGTGTGTTTTCAATATGTTGTTGTGACACTATCAAACCCCCGAGTGTGT